GCGTTTTAAAACAAATATGATTTATTCAACCATAATTAGCAAAAACGGCATCAGAGTTTCAAGAAAAATATTTAGAAGTGAATTTTTTCTTACTTCAACCTTCGATACTTTCATATGCTATCCAAAAAAATTTCTTAACAATAACTGATTAATTTGTCGATAATTTTGTGTTTGAAAAAAAGTACCAGGAGATGACATTTTCTGCCCACAAAAGCCGGAATACAAGCAAACTTATATACACAGACTTTTAAGGGAAAAAATTCAACATCAGGTAAAATGCAGGATCCAATTTCGATGAAAGCTGAAAGTTAATGTTGCGACCTTTGACAATGGGGAGAAAGTTTGTCTTCAAGTGTTTTTTTTTAGTTTTTTTTTTCTGTTTTTTGTTGTCCGCGCAACTTCAGGCAAATATTTTTTTGTTTTTCTCGTCATTTTTTGCTAAACTGCTTAGTTAACTATGATTTTCGAATATGCCCCAATTCTAGATTTTTGTTCAGACCCTTTTATCACACCACGCAGATAAAACGACAGTTATTTGTAAAAAAAAATTTGATTTTCTTAAGACTATGGTCGGAATATTCTGCACTATTTGCACAGAAACCAGCTGGCTATCCTTGTTAATATTTGTGCTTATGGAACTTTAAAATAAATTGACCATAAAAGCAGCCGTCACAAAGTTTTAAACTGTCAATTCGAGCTTTGATTTTGAAAAAAAATCGACTTCGCAAAAAATTCTGATCCTGATTAACTATTTGACGAATTTTTTTTTGCCACACAGATGGATATAAGCAAGCCTTTGCTAGCAAGCTTCATTTTTGGAAAATTCCTATTTCACATGAGTAAAACATTTCAAAGAGTATATTTTTTATAATTATAAGAAATATCGACATACTCATTGTTATGGTAAAGACTCTCAGACAGCTTACTGAAATAACCTATCAGCTCCAGATAGAATTTAAAAGAAAGTGCACATGTGTGCACTTAAAAATATTGATGACTGAGGAGCAAGACTGACTTTTTGAAGTTATTGGCAACCCAATCTCTCAATTTCTGAACGGAAAATATGTCACCTTTCAGTACTACTTGTAACCCTCATTTCTTTCTTATTTTCAGTCCCGTAATTAATTCAGATATTGTTTGCTTTGTTTCTTTTCTTCAAACTATTCAGAATTTGCAGCTTTTCATCATTTTTGCCACACCCCTTAATGCAACACTACCCTTGGGCGTAGTTGGTGATGTATCCCAATGTTTGTTTTCTTACTTCACCAGCGTCAAAGGAATAGTAAACATTAAACGAAAAACTACACCTTTGAAAAAACACATTAAACATTTTTCGGGTAGGTAGCACTGTTTTCATATTTTTTTTTCTCAAAAATCAACCGGATTGAAATAGATCAGAGCTTCATTGATTTGGGTTATATTGTGTACAGATTTTATAAAAATCAAGTTATATGAGTATGAAACTTTATCGCCCAATTTAAGCGCTCGCGGAATGTATAACCCAGTAAGAACTCAACTAGGAAGATATCCCAATGGATAACAACCCCCCCCCCCCCCCCCCCGCGGATTAAGTCCCCTATAGGACTGATTTCACCTAGAAATCCATCCCGACTTTTTAAATAAAAATTCCACGCATCAGAATTAGGCACTAAGACGACCTGGAAGATTAAATCAATTAATTGGTAAAAGATAATTGAAAAAAGGACACCTTAAATATAAAGGAGATTAAAGAATAAATTTTAAGCGACAATTTAACATCTATCGCTTTGAGTTATCCCAACTCTTTGTAGTTGGCGGCTGAGCAGACAATTATTTTAATCTAACCAAACCGTGTTCTTTTTTTCAGCAAAATTATCTTTTCGTATAACAATCATGGTTATTGTGAAGCGTTGTCTGTACCCTTTTGGAGGCTAAGTCTTTTAGATCGCACCAACTTTTTACCACGTCGAGTTTTTATCAGAACACAAAACATTAAGTTAATTACAATGCTTATTCCAGGAGCGGCATTTGCGGGATTCTTTCCACTGCACTGCAATTCGGCAAGAGGGGTCTAATGAGCGCTGATTATTTTGACTTTCGATGAAAAAATGGAAAGTTTTTTCTCAATTTTTTGACCAATTGAAAGGTTTTTTAACGCCCAAAGCTCAACCATATTGTTTCCACCTGTGTTCGGTCTGAGGTGGGTCGGTCGAGTATATCGTCGTTGTATGTGTCTCGATTGAGAACACGATTGTTCAATATATATATATTTTTCCTTCAATAATTATCGAAAATCATTAAGAGGAAACAACGGAATCATATCTGTTTCGGAACAAAATTATCAAGTTTTAAACAAAATCGAAATCGAAAGCGACTTTATTGTCACTACTTTTGCCAATTAGTGGGGATTTTCACGCTTGCCAGAAGTTAGAAGTCAATTCTGGCCAAAGTCTAATTAAGTTCATGTCGAGAACACCATTTAAAAACAAATTTGACTTAGGAAAATTTTTTATCCGGTTCAAATCAAGTGTATTCCAAGTTTTTTAGTAGTAAAATACTTGGAATGACCGGGATTCGAACCGGCGACCTTTCGGTTTCAGGTCAAGTACGTTACCGCTAGACTAGCTGGTCTTGATATGCTTTCATTTTAGTTTCAATCTTGAACATCCTCGGGCCCCAACGGAGCGAGAACTGGGCCGAGTTTAACAAGAGGTCGGGTTAAATCTCCTGTTGCGGTTTTAAGGAGTGCGGAACGGGCAGTAGCGTCTTTGCCATAGTTAAGCGTTTTGACGCGAGCAAGAGGGTAGTAACCACGCGGGCTACTATCCTCGACGATCCAAACAAGATCTCCGGTTTTGAGTTCTTGTTCGGTAGGTGTGTGCCATTTACGGCGTTTGTTGAGAGTCGGAACGTACTCGCGTAGCCATCTAGTCCAGATGGCGTTAGCGTAACCTTGTGCGCGAAGATAACGCTTTCGATGATCAAAATTTCGTCCTTCGCAATCGACGGGAAACTAACTGAGCGCTGGCCTATCAAGAAGTGATTTGGCGTTAAAGCCTCAGTCTCATTCGGGTCACTGCTTACCGCTGTAAGTGGAAGCGCATTGAGGGACTGTTCCACCAGACAAAATGTGGCCTGGAGTACCTCGTCGGTTAATTTACGGGGTGTGAAGATGGAGTAGAAAACTCTCTTGCAACTACGTACAAGACGTTCCCAAGAGCCACCATGATGTGGTGAAGATGGTGGGTTATACTTCCATTCGATGCCTTTGTGGACAAGGAGAGCGGGCGCAAGATCATTCCATGCTCGAGTACACAGAAGAAGCTCTTTCTCTGCACCGACAAAGTTTGTAACATTATCGGACCAAATTTTCGATGGAGTTCCTCGTCTAGCGATGAATGGTTCTACTTCCATGACACAGGAGCTTGAATTCATTGATGGTACGACTTCAATATGGATGGCTCTAGTGGTCAAACAAGTGAACAAAAACGCCCAACGTTTCTCCGAACTCCTACGGATTGTTACGTGAAAGGGTCCGAAGTAATCGACTCCGCAATTGTTGAAGGGCGCTTGGCGGTATCCAAGACGCTCAATTGGCAGATCAGGCATGAAAGGAGTGATGGTTTTCAACTTTCGCTTTCGGCAGTTTTTACAATTAAGTTCAATGTTACGGAACAATGATCTTAATTTTAAGATTGCATATTCTATCTGGATGACAGATCGTAGGTAGTCAATTGACTGATGTTCATGTTTGTTGTGTTGATGAGCCACAAACAATTTGACTAATGGATGACGGCCATCAAGTATGTGGGATATTTATTTTTAAATTCGAGTTCAGAGAGACGACTAATGCGTCCTATGGATCTAAGAAGTCCATCGGAGTCAATGAATGGGGAGAGAGTTGCAATAGGGCTTACATTCTTAACATATTTCTCAGAACTCAATAATTTGAACTCTGAGGGGAACGCTTCTTTTTGAGAAAGATGAAACAACATTCGTTGAGAATTATCTATCTCAGACGGTTTAACGATATTAGCGATTGTTCCACGAAAATGATTAAATTTAGGATTTAATCGGAGGATGAATGCTACTACGCGCAACAATTTGAGAAACGAGCTGTAACGTTTCCACTTAATGACGGGTTCAGGGACTGACGGATTGATTACAAAATTAGTGGCAGTATCGATGACATCATCGATAGGACCTTTTAATTTTATTTTTGTAATCACATCGACATTTGGTCGAAAGGGCCAATCACTGGTTCTGAGGAAGCTGGGACCTTGAGTCCAGCTGCTGTCCTTCAAGGCTTCAGCGGCAATACCTCGAGTACCAGTATCAGCTGGGTTGTTTTCAGTATCTACGTGATACCATTCGTCGACAGTGGTAACTTCCAGTATTTCGCCTACTCGATTAGCGACAAATACTGGCTACTTTGCAGTCGAATGGAGCCTTTGTAGCACAGTGGTGCTGTCAGTCCACATAAAGACATCATTTATAGGGATGGAAAGTGCTTTCATGATATCTATTTTGAGGCGTGTAGCAAGCAAAGAAGCTTGCAGCTCTAATTTTGGGATAGAAATAGCCTTCATTGGTGCTACGCGGGCTTTACCCAAAATGAAGGCGAGTTTTGTCTCATGTGTATCAATAATGCGCGCACGGAGAAATTCAACTGCACAGAAGACTTCCTGTGAACTGTCACCAAACATATGGAGTTCAATTTTGTCAACTGCGGATGGAAAGTAGCATCTCGGTATGATCAGTTGGCCCAGGATGGGTAGACCAGACCGCCATTCGATGAATTTGGCATTCAAGTCCAAAGGAAGTGGGTTATCCCATTGTTGACCACTGATTCTCCAAATCTCTTTAAGAAAGGTCGGGCTTTGACAGTGTACGGAGCGACTAACCCAATAGGGTCGAAAACTGAAGAGACAAAACTTAGAACTGTACGTTGGGTAACAGTATCATTCAGTTCTCTGTTTACACCTCGACTAACTACCAATGTATCAAGAACGTGATCTCATTTCAAACCTAGAACATGCGATTCTTGACCTTCACTACTTAGAATCTCCTTAACTTGACTTAAATTGTCGCTTGACGTACATAACTCTTTCTGAATCTCTTTGATATTGCTCACGAATTTTGTCAGCTTAAATCCTCCTAACTTAAGTAGTTCTACAAGGTCCTTACTTAATTTTAAGGCCTGTTCAGGTTCGGGAAACGAATCAAGATAATCGTCCATATAGAATTTTTGCATCACGGCTGACGCTGCGTCGGGGAACAAGACTTGATTGTCGCGAGCTGTCTTTTGAAGAGCAAAATTAGCACATGTGGGCGAGTCACGAGCTCCGAAAATGTGTCGCGTGTATTGATACGTTACCACATCGGTTGTGGGATCCTCCCGCCACAGAAAACGAAGTGACAGTTGGTCGATTGGGAGAACACCAACCTGAAGGAACATGCCTTCAATATCAGCTCATACTGCCTGTTGATGTTGACGGAATCTCATTAGGACGGCCAGCAGATTCTGAAGCATATCTGGGCCAACCAAAAGAGCTTTATTAAGTGACGATCCATGAAATTTGGCTGCACCATTTAGGACGCGGCGGACATTTCCGGGTTTATTTGGATTAATCACGGGGTGATTAGGAAGATACCATTCCCTAGCGGAACGATTTGAAAGCATCCCAACGGCGTATCTATCGCCATCATGTATAGTTGATGCTTCTAAAGTTTTATTCGCCCTTTCATCGTCTGACGATCGGGCATCTACTTGTTTATACGTACCGTATGGTTCAAGTTCGTACCAAGATTTGACCTGCTCTACCAAACTTACATCTTCGATGTTACAATGCAAGCATGTTGAGATCAGGCCGGTGGAGGCAGGGAGTGGACCACTTAAGACCCATCCAATTGGGAGGCGAACGGCGAAAGTTGATTTTTGGCTTTTATCCTGGCAGTGTTCCAGAGGACAAATGTACTCATAAACATCTTGACCTAGAATCATTTCGACATCAGCGTACCGAAATTCGACTGAATCAATTGGTTCCAAGTGAGTGTATTTCTCTTGCAACCTACGAACGTTAATTATATCTGAACCTATGTAAATGTTGTTTTTTACATATGCACAAACGGTGAAAAAATATCTGGATCAAATTCAGAAGAAACGTTCAAATCAACTTGTTCTGAAGTAATATCTTCGGAACAATTGGCGCCATTGACAGTCAAATCAATTTTCCTACCTGTCAGATTGAGTCTGCGAGCGAGTTCAGGTGAAATACAAGAGTGACTGCAAGCTGTGTCACATAACACAAGTGCGGTGGTTTCAGAGTCATTTGATGATAATGTGAGGTTTATAAGTGGCATCAGTCCTTTTAGATTCATAAGGGATGTCCCACAAGTTTTGTTTTGCGTCGTGGATCTAAAGGGAGTTTGAACTGCGGTATTGGCTGCAGTTGTGTGCGGTGCATAACCAGATTGGTTATTTGTAGGGAAAACGCGTTCTGCGCCGTGCAGTAACTCATTATGAGTGCTCTTGCACTGTGGTTTAGGACAAGTTTAGGGCTTGGGACATTTCCTAAACATGTGATTTCTTTGAAAACAAGAAAAGCAAAGCTGTGTTGGAGTTTTTTCTTTAAAAAGGCTACATTTAAAAAATGAATGCTTGCCTTTACAAACTAAACATGGACTATATTGAATATTTGCGTCAAACTTAGCTTGCGAGTTTGCGGCAAATATTTTAACATTGGTTTTTGTCCGAACCGAATTATCCTGATATCTATTGTAATTTGATGAAGGACACATACGTTCATGCGCTTCAGCTTTATCCTCCAGCCAATGATTGAAATCAATAAAAGACGGAGCATACAAACTCCGTTTTACGGTGTGGAACGACCAAGACTCTTTCATATTAAGTGGGAGCTTCTCTATTGCTTTATCGAGAAGTGTTGCACTTTTAAGGTCTGCGTTCTAATGTAAAGATTTGAACACTCCAATTATGCTTGCTATCATGGATGCAAAACTTATGATGCTGTCGAAACTATGCATCTTAACGGGCGGTGAATTATAAAGTTTGTCCAGATATGCACGTATTATTATTTGAGGTTGGCCAAATTTTCTCTCAAGTTTCATGAGAGCATCTTTGTACATCGTACCACTATAGGCAAACTCAGCTATAGCAGTCTCAGCTTTATCTTTGACTAATGATTTAAGGTAGTGCAGCTTAACATCATCTCACAAGTTTCGAGAGTCCACAGCACTTCGGAATTGTCCAATCCATTCAAACCACTGAAGTGGACAGCCACCGTATTTCCTAAGGTTCAACGGTGGTAATGGATCCTTACGGTTGAAAGTTAGTATTTCCTTTAAATCTTCAAGGGTTACTGCATTAGGTGGTGGTTGAACTGAGGTTGAAGCAAAATTGTGTGGCTGAGGAACAAATGATGTCGGATAAGCTAAGGCAGTATGTGGATAGCTGGGGACTTGAGACAACTGCTGTGTTGACACTTGCGCTTGGTTATTGTAAAATACTGTCCCTCCAACAGTGCACGGGTATTGTGAAAGTGGTGGTTGCACTATTGGTGTGACAGTTTGAACGGCATTTAATGCCTGGGGTACTGTAGAATCTGATGCGGTAAATGGCGCGGTGGTTGGAGGTGCCGTTCTCCAGTTATTCATATTGGGTATATAACGAACTGGATGTGGATGGTTGAAGGATGGTTGATTTGTTGAAACACGAGTTGAGTTATTAATACTCGCTGGTGGAGCAGTAATAGGAATCAGGTTCACCGGCTGGGTTGCCGTATTGACTGTTGTATTAATTGGGACAGAAGCATGTAATGTGGGGACCATTGCTGCTGGCATACGTGGATTGAAAGGAAGCGGGTGCGAGGACGGGGGCGGGGGTGGTGGCGGCGGCGGTGGGAGAGGTTGAGAAGGAATCTTCAAATTATGAACGGTAGATGATACCACCGATTGTAATGGTAGGCAAACGCTTGGGTTGCTACTGGATGGAAAAAAGTGGACGTTTATTAGATCAACCGTGCTTGGTGGTAGAGACGAAGAAACCAAATTTGCGATGCCCGGAGGTTGAGGTTCTTGTCGGGGAGCAATGGTTATAGTTGATGCAAGTTCCGACGAATGTGTATTGAGTGCTTCATCTACCCAATCTTTATGATGCTGTCGGAACTATGCATCTTAACGGGCGGTGAATTATAAAGTTTGTCCAGATATGCACGTATTATTATTTGAGGTTGGCCAAATTTTCTCTCAAGTTTCATGAGAGCATCTTTGTACATCGTACCACTATAGGCAAACTCAGCTATAGCAGTCTCAGCTTTATCTTTGACTAATGATTTAAGGTAGTGCAGCTTAACATCATCTCACAAGTTTTGAGAGTCCACAGCACTTCGGAATTGTCCAATCCATTCAAACCACTGAAGTGGACAGCCACCGTATTTTCTAAGGTTCAACGGTGGTAATGGATCCTTACGGTTGAAAGTTAGTATTTCCTTTAAATCTTCAAGGGTTACTGCATTAGGTGGTGGTTGAACTGAGGTTGAAGCAAAATTGTGTGACTGAGGAACAAATGATGTCGGATAAGCTAAGGCACTATGTGGATAGCTGGGGACTTGAGACAACTGCTGTGTTGACACTTGCGCTTGGTTATTGTAAAACACTGTCCCTCCAACATTGCACGGGTATTGTGAAAGTGGTGGTTGCACTATTGGTGTGACAGTTTGAACGGTATTTAATGCCTGGGGTACTGTAGAATCTGATGCGGTAAATGGCGCGGTGGTTGGAGGTGCCGTTCTCCAGTTATTCATATTGGGTATATAACGAACTGGATGTGGATGGTTGAAGGATGGTTGATTTGTTGAAACACGAGTTGAGTTATTAATACTCGCTGGTGGAGCAGTAATAGGAATCAGGTTCACCGGCTGGGTTGCCGTATTGACTGTTGTATTAACTGGGACAGAAGCATGTAATGTGGGGACCATTGCTGCTGGCATACGTGGATTGAAAGGAAGCGGGTGCGAGGACGGGGGCGGGGGTGGTAGCGGCGGCGGTGGGAGAGGTTGAGAAGGAATCTTCAAATTATGAACGGTAGATGATACCACCGATTGTAATGGTAGGCAAACGCTTGGGTTGCTACTGGATGGAAAAAAGTGGACGTTTATTAGATCAACCGTGCTTGGTGGTAGAGACGAAGAAACCAAATTTGCGATGCCCGGAGGTTGAGGTTCTTGCCGGGGAGCAATGGTTATAGTTGATGCAAGTTCCGACGAATGTGTATTGAGTGCTTCATCTACCCAATCTTTTGTTCGGGTTTCAGCGACAACTTGTTGTGTTTTACTCGAAGGCAGAGCGGTTTTATTGATGTCAGTATCAATGTCCGATCATCATCCATTAACTCTGTTTCAACTATTTTGGCCTCATTGAGCTTTCGTTTGTTCTCCTCAACAAGTGTCTCAAGAGTCAATTCGTTTTCTTATTCTTTTAGGCGGATACCTGTTTCATTTTGTCACTCGATTTCAAGACGTCGCAATTTTGCTATTTCGAGTTCGCGTTTGCGCTGACTCGAAGTCATTGAAAACGCTCTAGAGTGCAGGGAACTATATCGGGTGGACCGGCTGACAGCTGAAGCAGCTCGCGATGCTTGCGGGTCAGCATCTCCAGTCTCTGGAAACAAAGTTTTCGCCATTACCAAGTGCTTAATTAACAATTCCAGCATTTCATCTCGAGCGCAAGTAATGCTGATCAAACAAGTGTCAAGATCAGCGAGAGCACTGCTAGGTTCTAGCGTTTTTTGAGCAAGAATGCGAAGGTCGTCGTGTTTCCTTATTGCGTTTTCTAATGCTATTTGGCACTGCTGGATAGACCTTTCAACTTTGACTGTCCTTACCTTTGCTAAGAGTGAGTCTTTCAGATCTGAATAGAGCCTATAAAATTCCTCCTCTTATTTCCTACGTCCGTCAAAACACCTAGACAGCTTCTGAGCTTGCTTATCTGTCATGACTTAGCTTTAAATAAAGGAAAAGCGGGCGGTTGTGAAATATCGAAAAAAGGGGATTAAAAAGTCAAGTGTGATGTCACTCTTCACACCTGCTCAGAAAAAACCGGAGTTGCAATAAAGATTGTCACACTTTACTTTACAAAGGGGGTGGGAAGTTCGCCTTTACGATTTAGAGCGAGCGGAAATAAAAAAAAAAAGGAAAACAGTAATTTAGAATTAAATTACAAATTGAAATACATGGACACTACAAAGAATATCAAAGGCTCTTTGCTGCAGATTCGACAGCTAGGTGGCGATTGCGTTCGGCACGACGTTTTTTTGAGAGGACCGCTTTTTTTGTTCTTTATTTTTTTTAAGTTTGCCGTATTACTTCGGACTATCGAGAAAGACTTTAGTTCAAGGTCAGTTTCTTGGTGAATTTGGAAGTACTGACGGAGGAAGCGAGTGTCTTTCTGCTTACGCTTAGAGATTAAGTCGCCAGTCACGCTTAAATTTAAAATGCCCGTTGAGCAAAGCAAATCGTAGATTTTAGGAGTTTCGACTCGTTGACAGTATACAATTGCAGCAATTTTACTTTTGTAATAAAGCAGAATGTTGCGCAGTTCAAATTCCGTGAGTGCTGTATCGTTGTTACTATTGTGCTTGCTGATTGAATTGTTGATCAGATCGTGACAGATTATTATATCATTTCTATGGGCTAATTCGCCGTCTAAAAAAGTTTGGGCACGTTTTGATTGGTACTTGTGGTTGAGACTTAAAACACCAAAGGCATAACAGTATTGCGATATATGGTTTTGCTCGGCTATACATAACGTTTTATGAGCACGAGAGAGCGAGCTACTGGCTAATTTATACATTTACGACCGAATTCGGCACGATAAAAAAGATCGGGGGGGAATCAAGTCAACCGGATTTTGAGAATCTCAGGCCTGCTCAGAAACAACCGGAGTTGCAAAAACTCAAAGGGATTGACTTGATATAGTGCTAAGTGGTCTGTACACTGTGTAATTTTGCAGTGCTAACGTTTGCTGGGCTGTTTTTTTTTCGCAAAAAAAATGACAATTTTTTTTTTTTTTTCGAAAAAAAAATTTTTTTTCTTCTTATCGTCTACGTCAGTTTAGTACCGAAATTAGACGATTTGGGGTCTATTTCGGATTTTTCAATTTTTTGCGAAAATGTTCTCAAAAATTTTCACAATTTTTTTTTCTATCGGGTCGGAACGGTGGGTTCGGGTTCGACTTATCGACTACTAACTATAAACTAGCAAATGAAACCAAAATTTTAACTTTTAGTCAAATTTTTTCGATTTTCGATTTTTTTTTTGGATTTCGGATTTTCTGGGTGGGGTATTCGGGTTAGACTATTGGCAAAAGCACGGTAAAGATAATGAAGTCAACATTTTAGCACACTGAATGGATTTGATGGGTCACAATAAAAAACTTTAAAGGACCGTAAAACAATTATAGCTCAGGTTTATGAAGAAACTAAACTCAAAAGTTACGTCTTACAATAGTTTTTTTTGTCAATTTCGGCCATCAAAAACGGTTGGGGAGATTCCTGTCTCACTTGCAGGTAGCTGTCTGCATACACCTTCGTGAAATTGCACAATCACCTTTCACTGAGGTACTTCTCACTCACAAAAAACTGAGTCGTCAAGGGTTTCGTCTGGTTTGTCGTCGAATGTCGGCGGACCATGTTTCCACCTGTGTTCGGTCTGTGGTGAGTCGGTCGAGTATATCGTCGGTCTGTAGATTGGCTGTATGTATCTCGATTGAGAACACGATTGTTCAATATATATATTTTTTTCCTTCAATAATTATCGAAAATCATTAAGTGGAAACAACGGAATAATATCTGTTTCGGAACAAAATTATCAAGATTTAAACAAAATCGAAATCGAAAACGACTTTATTGGCACTAATTTGAACAATTAGTGGGGATTTTTACGCTTGCCAGAAGTTAGAAGTCAATTCTGGCCAAAGTCTAATTAAGTTCATGTCCAGAACATCATTTAAAAACAAGTTTGACTTAAGAAAATTTTTTATCCGGTTCAAATCAAGTGTATTCCAATTTTTTAGTAGTAAAATACTTGGAATGACCGGGATTCGAACCGGCGACCTTTCGGTTTCAGGTCAAGTACGTTACCGCTAGACTAGCTGGTCTTGATATGCTTTCATTTTAGTTTCAATCTTGAACACATATTGTCGGGTTACGGATGTTTGAATGTTGCCAAGGCCAATTGTTCCGACTTTTGAAGAAAGTGCGAAATTTTTATGCATGGCAATCGAAATAATAGTCTTTAACAAGTTTTATGCCTCTCTGAAGAAATCGACTACCTAAAAATCAAAAAGATAATTTTACCTCCGATCGTTTTTTGCCAAGTTTTGGGAGCTTTAAAATAGCCAATTTGGCCATGCTCTAGACTAATTTCTGCGCGCTTTGAAGATTTTATTAATTATGCTGAAAGCGTAACGCAAAATATTTATGCGTGTCAATTTATCCTGCACAATTAAATTCTTCCAAAGTGAATTGAGGCTGGCTAACCGGTCGCACTAATTTTTTTACGACTAATATTTTTGTTTTTGGTATTTGATATTATCTAAAATTCATAGTTTTTCCAATTTTTTCTTTTTCTAAAAACTATTTGCGACCAATTTAGTGGCAGTCGTAACAATCAGGGTTTTGACCTAATGGACCACCAGTCTTGTTAAGGAATTTTAGTGCTCGATATAGTTTCTACCATTACCGCAAGAGCAGCAATTTAGTTCAATTCTCAATACTCAAATTGACGCAGCTTTTTGAAACAACTAGTCAAGACTGTTCGTATATCAAGGCGAATTGTACTTTATAGACAATTATAAAGAACCAAATTGGTTGAAAATTGACAAAAAAATTGAAAAAAAAAATGTTTTTTTTTAATCATTTTTTCCAGTTTTTTCTTGCTACGTAGAAAACATAAGGCGCGTCTACCGTCTCGGATTGCTTTTATAAAACTACATTGCTGTCCTCAATTTAGTTCGAAATGCATTTATTCGCTACTTACGCGTGTTATAAGAACGCAATATATCGAGCGTTAATTATCCCAATTTTGCCAGTTAACAATTTTCAAACCCCGGTAACTTTAGAAAAAAGATCATAATAAATGATATTTTTTTAATTTGAGCTTGGTACAACAATATATTTCACATGATGTTAAATTTTTTTTTAAAACTTAATGAAAAAGTCGAAAATTGGCTGAATAAAAAACCACAACAAGAATACACATTCCTTACTTTCTTTGAAAGTCGGAGCAGTTACACCACTTTGTTTTTTTTATACCGTTTGAGGGATACTTTCAAAAAAAATCTAAATCAATTTTTTCTCTGTTCGTTTGAAGTTTTGTCAACTTTGTAAATTTAATTAAAAGCGATAGACTTATTCGTTGGACTTTAGAGTCGGAATATTCAGCGCTTCGCCTGATAAGAGCAATTTTGATTGTGTTTGTTGCTAAAGAATAATGCTCAGGATGAAGTTGAAAAAAATTTTGCTTTAACACCGCCATATAAGTGTTTTTTGCCCGACTCAGCGTCACAATTAAGACATATATCTAAGTAGTCTGCTAAAGGACACTTTCTATTCAGTTTTTTGGCTCAAGACTGATCTGGTCCACTTACCCCCTCACCCGCCCCTCTTTTTTTCTTAAAACCAATTTTATTTTGTTGTTTTGCATGGTAATTAGCTGTAAATGAGTCATTAGTGTATAAAAAGCACAAGTTTTTTTTTTCTTGAGGACTTTGTACGGGGGGATTTAGTTCGAATTTTTGCTTCCGTTTCGCGCTAAGTAAAAAAATATGGTTTGCCTAGCTAAAAAAATATCGATTTTTTGCTCGGAATTTCATTGAGCTTTTGATTGCTGAATATTTTACATCAAATGATGCAAAAATTAGTCGCCTTAACTATATTCAGTGACGTCAACAATCAGCTTGTTAACGGCGAATATTTCATTGAATCATTGAATTTTACTTAGCGCAAATTAAATTTACACTTTTTCGCTTACACTTATACTGTTTTTTTTAAAATCAAGACAGCTTTTTTTATTTTCGACCCACGCTGGAATACTGGAATGGCCCAAAATTTCTTCACAAATACGTAATTTATGAGCTCGTCTCAAAAGCAACCTTGTCGCAAAACTACCTATGACTGAACTCAATTTGTTTTTTTTCCAAATGCTTGAGTTTCTCTCATCACTTACTAACGATCGCTTAGTTAATGCAGCATTGATAATTAATCGGTTTGAAACATCCTTTTTTTATAACTTTGCGTGAAAATAAAGACGACTATGGTTTCAGATTGTTGTTTACTAAACCAAGGAAAAGAAATCTGCTAATTGCCAATTTGCTTTTTAAAACCTTTGATTAAATATTCTTATTTTGCATTATTTTGTAAACTTACACTTGCCATCAACAGATTATAGGGAAAACTGATCATACCCTAAAAATTTTGTCAAGGTTTGGCTTCACGCACTTTTTTACCTTCGTCGACATATGTTATATGATCGTTGATGTCTGGAAGTTTGAACAAAATCTGAAGCAGCCTGTCGTAAGCTACCTTCTCTACTTGAAGTCTATTTCAGATGGAGTAGTGTGGTTTTTAGTTAATAAACTGTTCCCCACTGATGCTATTTGATTACAGTGGACGATTCTGTTTATTTTTTCCTGTCAGCTAATCCCATCTCATTCACGGTGACGCTCCGGCCTAGCGGTTAAAGTAAACAATCGAAATTACCATAAGTCTGATTATTTGACTGGGAGTATTTATTTTACCAGACGGGCTCTCCTTTTTTGGAAATTCTTTTTGGAATCTTCACTGTTCTCAAAAAAATATTGCTCTTTTTCCAATTCTGTTACATTTTTGGGTAAAAAAAAAGTTATTTTATGTTATCATTTTTGTTTACTGAATGATGTAAAATTATTTTAGCTAACTGTCATTATCAACAACTACCTGCAAAGAAGCAAAGTATTGCCAATCAGAGCTATTTCGGGTAACAACAAACAATCATCACTTTCTGCCTCTCAGACTGACAAGCAATCACTCAACCCCCTCGACTCAACTAAGCTGCTACCTCGGACTATGGCCAGCGTGTTTGTGGGGGGAACTCCTGCAAATCAATCAGAACAAACCTACCCTCATGGAGTTTCTAGAACATTCTATGGCTGTATGCGAAGGGTTAGCCCATTTTTCTCTTTATAAAAAAACTCAACCATCAAAAAGACCAAAATTTGACAAATAAATTTTTCACACTGAGAGCTCTATTGCAGAGGTGCTATTAAATTTAATGATGCATCAATTTTTTTTCTTTCAATTATGCTTTCAAGAGTTAGCGAAAATTGGTTGTTTTCACAGAGAATAATTAAACAAAAAAAAACTACACTTCACAAGTACCCGAACTGAAGTTTCATGGATAATAATCGATTATATTGGATTTTCAATGACAGTCTTTATAAAATAATAAAAATAATCGATTATAAATTATTAAAAACGGATAATAATGATATTAATTTTGAACTCCCAGTGTAATTGATTATAATCGATTATAAAAGACTATTACCAACTTATTTTCAAAAAATTTTATCAATTGACATGGGGGGGGGGGGGGGTACTTTCCTGTTGGGCCATTTTGAATTCCGGAGCACTCCCACAACACTGCCAAAAACGCGTATTTTTAGCGCTGCAAGCAAATTTTTTGAGAAAAAAACGGGTCAAAAATGCCGTTTTTGGGTTTTTTTTGGAAAATAACTAAATATTGGCCTCTTCAAAGTTACTACATATTGGCTGGCCGCACCTGGATCAACGCGTTCGTTCAATTTTGGAAAAATTTGTAAAAAGTAGAGTCATTATTTACAAAAATTAAACAACTTTGATGGATTTTTTGTACAAAAAATAATCCATTATATTGAAAACAAAAATGGATTATAATCGAATATAATGGATCTTTCTTAATGGATTTTTTTTTCAAAAATAATCGATTAAACTGGATCAAAAAATCATTATGTTGTAAAATTGACATACTAATGGATTATATTGACAACATTTTAGTCAATAAAAATCCGCTATAATCAATTTTCATCCATGAAACTTCGGTGCGGGTAATTTATTAATTTACGCTTTTTATTTAAAAAAATAATACTGATTAGTTTTGTAAAAAAAAAGCAATATGTTACGATTGCTCTCACTTTGTATGTCGAACCTTATAATTATCCTTTTTCCAGACCTTCAATTTTTTTTATTATGTTCTGATGCTATATACTGTTTCTGATACACCTTTACTGAGTTCCCACAATTTATTAAAAGCAGACATTAACTTTGGATGCAAACTGCTTATTTGCTGCAAAAATTTGCATTTTTAATGTCGAGTAAGTACATGAGTTGGTTTTTGCTTATATAACGGGACAGCTATAAAAATGGTTGTCAGTGGTCTTTTCAAGTTTGAAAAAAAAATGAGGCTTTGATATGATAACAAAAAAATGTTTCTCCTAGCATTTAAAATTTTCTGCTTGACTCCCCAGATTTACAAAAAAAATTCAGCGTGGTATAACCTTTAAAAAAAGAGCTCGTCCAATTATTGACAAAAGGAATAAATCTTTTTTTTTTCAAAATTCTATTGCAGAAAATGCATATCAATTGATAAAAATAGTTTGTAAATATAAAACTTCAAAAACAAACCAGCGATCAAAAATCGTAGATATTTGTGGCTATTTCAGTGTTTTTTATTACTAAAAATTGCCGATGATGATCGAAATTTGAACGTGTTTCCAATTTAACGCTAAAACCTCCTCAGATTTCATTGCCCTTTTAACTTCGGGCAAAATCGCAAATCGAGCAAAAAAGTTAAAGTTCATCGCTGAATCATCGCATATTTTTTTTGTAGTTTTCCAGCTCTGAATCATTGCTTACTTGACACTGAGCTCAGTAATTTGAATGAATACTTATCGCTAAAGTATTGATGTTTTTTCTTTTTTTTATAACAGTTTTTCATGGTAAATACAACCAAGATCTTTCAACGGGAAAAAACTTGCATTGAGTGGTAAGAAAACTGTTTTTTTTTTCAAAGAAAGAAATTTTGTACTGCATTAAGTCGGCAAAAATAAGTTGTTGGAAATTAAAAAACAACAAAAAAAGAAAAAGTTTTTTTAAATTCAATAGTTTTTTGTGATCACTTCGAAGTCAACCGCAGTCGAAAACAATTTATTTAAGTTATTCATTTTAATTTTACTCCCCTTCTTGCGACACGCGTAAAAAGACTAAATCTGCAAAAAAGGGTTTTTAAAAGGGTTTATTAAAAATCTGATGTGAGATTTTTAGTGTTACTTCCACCGCAACAGACATTTCTTGTTCCTATTTTTTTATATCAAAACTGGAATTTTTTTTTGGAAATTTTCCACATTATTATTTCATGCGACTAATTTTCTAGTCGAATGCGTGGTTAAAACTGATTTTTTATTGTACAAAATAAGTACTTATTGAGTGAAGAGAAAACTACATTTTAACAAATGTTTTTGAATCGTATTGTAAATAATTCCGCCAACGTGGGAAGGTGGATTGATTTGATAAACGGAAACTTTGTAGAAAAAAAATCACAAATAGCGCAGATGCTCATTTTATTCAACTCTACAAAAAATCAATCCTACGATGAAATTAAAGCATAACGTAGGATGGACTTTGAGCTCGAAACATCCAAACAGTCAAACAAGTAGAAGTTGAGGTTTTTGGCCAAAAAACGTTCAAAAACTTTCAAAAATTTAGTACACTTTTTTCAAGTCGAAGCACAATTTTCTTTTTTGAGCTTTCCTCAAAATTTCAAGAATCCACAGGAAATTTTGGAAGTTTTGAGATAAAACTTAAGGTTAGTTTTGAAAAATTCTCATCAGAAAAGCGCGTTCTCTGGCCAATTGCCCCTCGTGAAAGTTATATAAAAATAATTTTGCCGTAGACGCCGTTAATACAAATTAAATCATTCCTAAAATAGTACTAAAAAACAAAGATGAATTTATCAATAAAATCAGTATGAGACAAAAACTTCACCTGAGACCATTTTGCGTAATGAATTTTGTTCAGTGTTCCTAAAATACTACTTTTTTAGGTTATTGCCAATTAAATTACTCTGAAGTTTAATTTAGGCCAGCTACTTGGTCGTAACCATTTCTTTACTAAATAAAAATTATTTTGACGAAAAGCTACATCTTATGCAAATCCAGAAAAATGAAAAAATGAATTGAATTTAATTGTTTTTTCTTAAAATAAAAATATCAACTAAAAAATACAATTCAAACAATTTAATTGAAAGTGAAATTTCAAGTACGAGCTATTTTTATTACGTTTTCATTGCTGCATATTCAATCAGTGGTTTCGTGTATTAGGAGTTTACCCTGTTTCGTTTTCAATTGCCATTAGTACCACATCGTCAAAAACAGTGCAGCATAGTTTATTTAATTGAAAATTGTGTTATACCAGCTAAAAATAGCTGATTTTTGTTTGTTCCATTTAGTGATGTTGTTATTTTCTGAATTATTTTTATTTTCTGCAATATAATAACCAATAAGTTTTAAGTCATCAACGGATCATATACGCTTTAAGATAAGTGCCAGCAGCATTCGTTGTCTTTTTTTTTCTTGTTATTGATTCACAAACAATGTTTGATTTTAAGCATCAATCAATTAGTTTCATAATGCTTGTAACATTTCTAATTCAAATTGCAGAAAAAAAAGCATTATTTTATCTGAAAATTCTGTCATCCCGTTCTTTCATTAATTGAAATATGAAAACTCGACTGCTTCAAGTGGTCTGTTTATACAAATTCAAGATCACATATATCATTCTTTACTAACTTTTGCAAATTTGTTTCCAATTATAAAGTCATTTTTGACGAAACAACCAAATCAAAAAAACTTTAAAATTTTGGACCAACAGCACAAACCGATTTAGAGTGGGAGATGGCGTTTGAGTAAAAATGAAATTGCTAAAACATTGCGCTAAGGACCCACATCTAAGTTAAACGTTTTTTTTTTTTGTAAACTAAAACATAGTCAATATAATCGATACCCCTGTCATTCTCGGACAATCGAATCATTTAAAAATTGATAATATTTCTTTAATTTCTCCAATTTCAAACTGAGCAGTGTTCATTTAAAGTCCATATTGATGATTTTATTTCGTTTTGCACCGAGTGACAATTTACAACACATTCTGCGCAAGTCAAATGGCTCACGCAGAAATTGTTGCAAATTGTCAATCGATGCAAAACAAAAAAAAAAAATCATTAATGTGGATATTAGGTGAACTTTTCTTAGTTAGAATTTGGAAGAAATATGGACTAAAATACAACTTTAATCCATTCAATTATCCGAGACCGACATGGGAATGAATTAGTTTGACTAGATTTTAAATTACAAAAAAAAACCTTTTATATTCGATTTGCTTCCTTTCATTTTAAATGAGGGTCCTTAGATTTGTTTTGGCAAATTCATTTTCTCTCTAATTCGATTTGTGTTGTTGGTCCGAATTTTTGAAGCGTTTTGATGTGGTTGCAAAACGTTAAAAACTGTGTTTCTTGGTGATCGCCGCGCTTTAAAGTTATTTGAGCTAGAGACACGCTTGAGTATCAAAATAGTGCTAAAGGAGATTCTTTGGGCGGTAAACGAATTGGTTTAAAAGCGCACTTTGATGCATTTTTAGTTTGCTTTTGCAAAAATTAATTTCTTAAAATATTACCAAAGGAGGAAAACTTAGAAAAATTTCGCGACTGGAATTGGGGAAGCCCGCTTCTTCTACCCCACCCATCAAGGATATGGCAAACGTGGAAGTGGGAGGACAAATATAACTTGGGAACAAAGTTCGAAATCAACTCCCCCTTGGGTAGGGGAAAAGAAAAGCGACAATTCGCAAGGTTTAAAAACTTTTTCAAAATGAAATTTTCGGTGTGAAATTGCCGACAATTACCGGCTTTACTTTTTTATAAAGCCTTATTCACTGTTGACAACTTGCAACTCATTAGTGCGACTACGGCGATGAGCATTTTGCGAGGCGTCTGGTAATGCGCGTTGTTAAATATTGCGAATTGTTTTTTTTATTGCAAGTTGTTGCAAAACTTTTCTTATAACAATTTCTCGATAAATTACACCATCCCCAGTGTTCTCGGAACATGATTTTTGCAAGTGATAAAGCAAAAA